AAGGCCTCTGTGGGGCCTCCGGGGGGAGCCGCGCTGTGCCCTCAGGGCGCCGGTGGTGCCCCTTGCGTTGGAGGCGGTTAAAATTGCCCTCCCACGCTGGAAGGGGAAAGGATAAAGTGTTTCCCGCTTTTCTCAGATGTGTTTGCGGTGTTCCCCAATACAGTTTTCAAAACGGGTGAGAAGTCCCTCCGAATATAATGTGAAATTACCATCGCCTCCTACAACTGCCTGACAGGAGGGGGGATCGGGCTCTGCTCCCAGGGGAGGGGCGATGGGACGAGGGGAAACGGCCTCAAGTTGTGCCAGGGCAAGGTTGGGTTGGACACTGTTTCTCAGATGTGTTTGCGGTGTTCCCCAATACAGTTTTCAAAACGGGTGAGAAGTCCCTCCGAATATAATGTGAAATTACCATCGCCTCCTACAACTGCCTGACAGGAGGGGGGATCGGGCTCTGCTCCCAGGGGAGGGGCGATGGGACGAGGGGAAACGGCCTCAAGTTGTGCCAGGGCAAGGTTGGGTTGGACACTGGGAACAATTCCTTCCCCAACGGGCTGTAGGGCGCTGGAAGGGGCTGCCCAGGGAAGGGGGCGAGTCCCCACCCCTGGGGGGATTTAACAGCCGGGCAGAGGCGGTGCCTGGGGCCAGGGTTTGGGGGTGGGATGGCAGGGGTAGGGGAACGGCTGGGCTGGGGGAGCTTAAAGGGCTTCTCCAACCCAAACGGTTCTGGGATTCTGTGATTCTATGAAAAGCTGCTGTGTGGAGAGGGTTTCAGTCAGCGTTGGCTCACAGCCCGAGGGCAGCTCTGGTTGCCAAAATAACCCATCTGAACACCCAGAATTGCGCTGTGAAAACACAAACCCTGAAATGCACAAAAGCTGAAATAACATCGCATGTTTAAAGCAGGGTTATTGGGTCTAAAAGAGTGTGTTCCTCACCTACATGAAGCAGTCGTGGCCTGTCTCCCACAGAGCAGAGCAAACTACTTGTGGGTGTCCGAGCAAATCTTTTTAAGACGTGTACTTCCCTTTTGATGGTTATTTTTGAAAATACATTAGGCACTTAAAAGATTAAGAAAATGAACCACGGTGTTCTTGGTGAAAATGAAGCATCACACAGATTTAGGAAAGTTTGTCATAAGCATTTATTTTACGTCAACTTGTATAGAGAATGTTTTCTCTTTTCAACAGATAAAGGCAATGAAGTGTTTGTTTTCCTGTTTGTTTCTGGTAGAGAAAAAAAAAAAAAAAAGTAAAATTCAAGATTCACCAGATACGCAAATATTAAAAAGTTACATGTTTGTAGGGAATGCCTTGAGTGGCAACAAGCGATGAAAATGACACGCAAAGCACCCGAGTCCCTGAGGGGACGAGGACACTTCTTGCAAAGGGGAAATCTCACACTGAAGATCTTTGGCAGTAGTAGGATTTCTTCGGATAAAACAAACTGAGATTGTTACTGAAAATGGATTTGGGCTAGATTCCGCAGCCTCATCCATGATCAGTAAGAGACTGAGTCAACTCAAAAGTCTCAACGAGATTTTTTTCTAATATCTGAACTATTTTGATGAGATCTGTGAACCTGGACTTTACATAAAGCAGTTTCTGACTCAGTAGAAAATGAAAGACTTTCTTTTTTTATTGACAATACACTCTGCACTTGATATCTAGATTTTCAACAGTTGTGGGTTTGGGGTTTGGATTTTTTATATTTTTTTTACATGAGCTCTCTTTCTCTGTTGATGGGGGAGATGTCTGGGGAGATTCACCTCATTCTTTCTCTCCTCTGCAGCCTTGACAAGAAAACAAAATCTAAGCACCCTGTGGGACATGACAAACTAGGTTTACTGGAGAAGCTCTGCAGTACAGCTGTGAATATGGCACCAGACACTGGAAGGTCAAAGGGCTTGTACTCCATCAAGACCGATCTCACATCCTCTCACTAGTATCAGATTTGCTGGTTCTGTGAAAACACAGGTATTTGCACAGCTGAAATACTAAGAAACAGTCTCAGCTCTAGGAGAGGCCTGAGGAAAAAACTGATATTTACAGTTCCAAGGAGATTTCGACTTCCCCTTTCTCCAGCAGTACCGTTTTGTTTTCTGCAAGGTTTCAACTGTTGTAACCAGAACTTTGTGCGCTAGATCGTTTGATCCAAACATCAGGCATGTCTGGTTGGCTGTTCGGTAACACAACCGGACCTTCGCTCCCTAATCCAAAACGATTTTTCCATGAAGAGCTGTTCTGCTGTGATGCTGCCGGAGAGATATCAAAGACAGTCTCCCTCAGGTCCAGCCGCAGGGTATCTCTCTTCCCATTCAAGTAACCTCTCTCCATTTGACTGTACGAATCAGACAGCTCTAAGACATCAGGACAAGAACTGGCTGATTCAGCAAGCTTTAGGCCTTGCTCAAAATCACTGATCGACGTCTCGCTGGAGATGTTGAGCATGTCAAAGGAGCTGCCAAGAGAACAAAGGCATCTGTGAATTTTGTAGATGTCAGCAGCAGGGAGATGGCTGTTGTCTGAGGTATAATCCAACTGCTGCTGGGCAGTGTCGCTAGAGCACTGTGATTTGTTGAGCTGCCCTTCTTCTTTCGCACCAGCTGGCTGGATATGGTCCAGCCCAGACCCATCCCAAGCTTTTGGACAGTACTTTCGACATCGGCAATCTCGGCAGAGTCTCTCCCTGTGAATTTCTGCTCCTGAGCTGCTGTGCTTGTACGGAGAGGAGGTTTGCAAAGCAGGACACTGGCACAGGCCAACCTGCTGCTCTCCAAGGGTCTCCTGCAGATTCTGTCTCTCTCTTTCAAGGGAAGGGTGCATTCCTATTCTGGGGCACCTGTTGTCTTCAACTTGTGTGTCTTCAGAGAGCACTGACGGTCGGTTGGACAGCTTGCTTGTGGAAGTGCTGTTGTCAAAACTGTCACTGAGTTTTCTCGACAAGGGCTGGAGCTCATATTGCTCATTTGCCGTGTTGGACTCCTGGACTTTCCGCAACCGGTTTTGCTTCTCACTCCCCCCACAGGCAAAGCTTCCGTTCAGCCCGGAGTCGTCAGAATAGTCTTTCATGGTGTGAGCACAAGGCCAGAGGATCTGCCCACAGTTCTTCTCTGGGCCAAAGAAGCAGCACAGTGACTGGAAGAAGAAGCTGGCAAACCCACAGCTGATACACTTAATCATCATGACGAATATCCCCAACTTCCTGTATGCCAGGACTGTCGCAGGCAACATAATGACCCCCGCAGAGAAGAGAGCAGAAGCTGCCATGGCCGTGGCACAGCTCATCTGCTTCAGGGAAAAGGCCACTCGGCTCAGGCGGTCAGAATGGGGGCACAGGTGGTAGGAGATGCAGTAGTTGACGGTAAAGTCAACGGAGAGACCTACGGCAGCTGAAATGAAGAGCGACTCCACTGCGTTGAGCTGCCACTCCAAGAGGACCAAAAGGCCGATGGTCACCAGGACAGTGCCCGCGATGGCAGTAACAGAGAAAACACTAAGGAGAACATTCCAGGTAGTGAGAAGCAGCACCACGAAGGAAATGGCTACAGAGAGCCCCATGACCACCATCGTTTCTGTGCTGAGGCTGTGCTGGAGGTTGTAGAGCTCTAGTTTACTGGTAAACCACCCATTCTGAAGCCCCACGGGGGCAGTTTTCATTTCCTCTGTTACCCAGAGGTTGATTTCCTCGTAGAATTGTTTGGCTTTGCTGTAGTTGAAGCTGTAGTGATAAATAGTTTGAAACTGCAGCACTAAGGCAGCGAGATTCCCCTCTCCGTCAAACCTGAGGCCCATATCGTACGTTTCTGCCTCTTCCCGGCCTCGTTCCAGGAGCATCATTTTGATGCAGTGGAGGAAGACTTCGCTTCCGTAAGGGAAGGAGAACTGGTTGCAGCAAAGGTTGAAGCTGTGGTCCCGCTGGGAGCACTGGCGACTGTCCATCCACCTGAGGAACTCCTCCATGAAGCACACAGTAGATTTCTGCTCTGCGTCGGGGTAATAGAAAGTTCTGTTCTTCACTTTTTGGCAGAATTCAAGGAGCCACTTCTGGGAATCAGGGCTTTGGATTGCGAAGGTGACGTCTGTCACTAGGGTGCCGTTGCTTTTTGGGTTGAAGTGGTCCCCATTATCCACGGGCAGAATGCCCCAGACTATCGTGACAGGCATACGCTGCCCTTCTCCGTGCTCCAGCCTCTCAAACATGAACTGGTGGCAGTACTCAGAATCGTACCTCTCAAAGGGGTGGCTCAGTCTAAACACCTGGACAGATGACGTCTCAAGCGTCGGGAGTTTGAGTTTCGGGTTGGAACAGGAAATGTAGGCACCTCCTATCGCTAAGGC